GACCCTGTGCCCAAGCAGGCGGGACTTGTAAGGGCTGCCTGCTTGGGAAGAGGGGCTGCCTGCTTGGGAAGAGGGGCTGCCTGCTTGGGAAGAGGGGCTGCCTGCTTGGGAACAGCAGCATGGCTCTTGCAGCAGGCTGGAGGTGAAAGCGTGCCCTCCTGTGGCTGCTTGCTGGGAGCTCCCCTCGGAATGGACTTCCCAAAGCAGACTCGCATGATGTACACTGAGCTAAGGGGACGCTGGGAAGCCTCAAAGGGCAGTCATCTTCTGGCTTGGTGGGATCTCTGTTGCTGCAGGCGCTTTGCAGAGAGCGGTCCCTGTGGCTGCTGCTCCTCGAGCAGGTTCCAAGTGAGACTGTCCTGCTTCGGGTCTTGCTGACCCTGTTGTCTCCTTCCCTGGGCATGTCCTTGTGTTTGCCAAACAGTTGTCTGAGAAAGCCGAGTGTTTGGCCGGAATGCGAGCAAGGCTCTGCCTGCCCCGGGTGCTGTGCAGAGAGGAGAGGTGGCAGCGCCTGAGCCCTGTGCTGGCACCAAAGCTGGTGTCTCGTAAAGCCTTAGCCCCCAAAGCTTATCTGGGGTTTCCCAAGCTTCTGTCCTAACCAACCTGCTCCCCATTCAAGGCTCGTATCAGGATGCAATCATTATCAGCATCTCTCCCCAGGGGAGCAGGAACAACTGCGAAGCATAAAGAGCAGTTGTGGGGAGAAGGCAGCCCTTGACATCTCTTGGCCCTTGACTGTCTGGTCTTTTCTCCCACCAGTGTTCAGCTTACAGGACCTGTGCTGCCGAGCCATTGTTTCCTGCACCCCAGTCCACCTCATTGACAAGCTGCCGTTGCCCGTCACCATCAAGAGCCACCTGAAATCCTTCTCGATGGCCAACGGCATGAATGCGGTGATGATGCACGGCCGGTCATATTCCTTGGCCAGCAGTGGAGGTGGGAGCAGCAGCAAAGGTAACAGCTTGAAGAGATCCAAATCCATTCGTCCTCCCCAGAGCCCCCCACAGAACTGCTCACGCAACAACTGCAAGATCTCTTAGCAGGATGGACACGCCGTGAGCTTCTAACGTGTCCACACCCCCCCACCGATGTACAGCTGTTTGCACACTGAACCCTTTTCGACTGGATCCTTTCGGATGGGCCGCGGTCGCTTTTCCGACGGCACGCACAGGCGTCAGGAATGTGCTCGCGTTTTGGCTTCGCGTAGGGAGCGCGGTGCCGGCCGGATCTCGCAGCGCTGGCGGCGAGAGGACTCTGCCAAGTGACCCTCCAAGAATGCTTTGGGCTTCACCTCTCGGCCTGGGGTGGAAAATTCAGCAGCTGCCGGGTTGGGGAGGGGGGAAGGAGGGGGGAAAAAAGCTCATCCAGTCTCAATGGAGAAATGGATTTAATGGAAGATTGAGAGGCTTAAGGGAGTAGGTAAGGAGAGTCTGTGCTGCAACTTTAACTCTTGGGCTCCTGAACAGATTGCTGGTGCAATAGTGATCGTTGGATGTAGAGGAAAAAAAAAAAAAAAAAAGA